ACACAAAGCCTGTACAAGTTATTCTTTATTCATGAAGCCCAGACATAAAGCCAACACGTGTTTATCTTTTATCTACAAATCTCATATTTTTTAAACCATTTCTTCACAGAAGTGACTTTATTTGGTATCTCATCTCAAAATATTACCAAGAAGGATTCTTTTTTATTCAGATTGAGTATGAGGTATTAAACCTACAGACACAAACATGGTGTATTTACCTTGCGTTTATAGATGTAAGCCAGAACTCCAATGGCTACCTGTACAAGGAATGCTATCACTGTAAAGGACAGGAACTGAAAAAAAAACCACACATAAAATTGAATTAAATATCAAACAAAAGATACAAAACAATATCGGTTATCTCTATTTAGTGACAATTTGTCACATGCATTATGCCAGGAACACCAACCTATCTTGTGATACCAGATATACATTGTACAGTCTATGAACAAAACAGAAATCTCTAAATTACTATTACTTACTTTTTTAGAACTAATTGTTATGTATCTTTTTGTCTTTTCCATTCAATTTGATTCCCAAAATATACTCACAAGTTTGAGGAGGAGCGAATTTTCCTTCCATGTGCCGTAAATGCCACCAACTGCGTTGATGGCAATGAAGAGTCCAACGAACATGACGAGGGCTACGGGCAGGGAGAGAGAATTGTTGAGGTGTTGATGGTTCTGTCGTTCTAACTCGGTGAACACACCCAGCACAAACAGTCCGAGCCCCACAAACTGTAACACAAAATAGTAATGTTACAGGTACATGGTTCTGTCGTTCTAACTCAGTGAACACACCCAGCACAAACAGTCCAAGCCCCACAAACTGTAACACAAAATAGTAATGTCACAAGCACATGGTTCTGTCGTTCTAACTCGGTGAACACGCCCAGCACAAACAGTCCGAGCCCCTCAAAGTGTAACACCAAACAGTAATGTTACAAGTACATGGTTCTGTCGTTCTAACTCGGTGAACACGCCCAGCACAAACAGTCCGAGCCCCTCAAAGTGTAACACCAAACAGTAATGTTACAAGTACATGGTTCTGTCGTTCTAACTCGGTGAACACACCCAGCACAAACAGTCCAAGCCCCACAAACTGTAACACAAAACAGTAATGTCACAAGTACATGGTTCTGTCGTTCTAACTCGGTGAACATGCCCAGCACAAACAGCTGTGTAGCATCATTTGTTCTGAAGTTAGAATGGGACTTTGAACTTTGACTGAAGCTCCTACTATTAATAGGGATCTTCCCCTTTCTTAGGGCAACTTACATATTAAGTCTGATCATGCGCTTTATGCAATCATTTGTTCTGCAGTGAGGATCCAGGCAGGGACCTTGACCTTTCGAAGAGTCATGCTCAAAATCAATAGGCTTTTTCCTTTTCCCTAGGGTAGCTCACATACTAAAGTTGTAGTATGTGTAATCATTTGTTCTTTAGTTAGCGACATGACAAAAGAAACTAACATTTGGACAAAAGGATCAACAAAATAAAATACTTAACCCCCACGTGTGCACCTACCCTATCTATTATACCTTGAATACAACATATCACAACAGTTTTTGTGGAAGATAACCAGGAAGTTCTATTAAACTTATCTAGAGATAATTAACTTGAACCCGACCCGGCCCCTGAGCACAATAATGTAATTCTGTGATCTCTCCTTCCTTGTTAGTCCAATCTACAGTTACAGCTTGGAAGGTCTGCTCCTGAAATATTGATATCCTCAATTGGTAAGATGGCTTTCCTCACATTTACTTCTCAGCTCGACACTACCAAGGGGCATGCTGTCGTACTTATATCTATATACACCAGCTGTACTGTCCTACCTATATCTATATACACCAGTTGTACTGTCGTACCTATATCTATATGCACCAGCTGTATTGTCTTACCTATTTCTATATACACCAGCTGTACTGTCTTACCTACATCTATATACACCAGCTGTACTGTCGTACCTATATCTATATACACCCGCTGTACTGTCTTACCTATATCTATATACATTACCTATATCTATATACACCAGCTGTACCGTCCTACCTATATCTATATCCACCAGCTGTACTGTCTTACCTATATCTATATACTCCAGCTGTACTGTCTTACCTGTATCTATATACACCAGCTGTACTGTCCTGCCTATATCTATATACACCAGCTGTACTATCTTACCTATATCTATATACACCAGCTTTACTGTCTTACCTATATCTATATACACTAGCTGTACTGTCGTACCTATATCTATATACACCCGCTGTACTGTCTTACCTATATCTATATAGACCAGCTAGACTGTTTTACCGATATCTATATACACCAGCTGTACTGTCCTGCCTATATCTATATACACCAGCTGTACTTTAGTCCAATCTACAGTTACAGCTTGGAAGGTCTGCTCCTGAAATATTGATATCCTCAATTGGTAAGATGGCTTTCCTCGCATTTACTTCTCAGCTCGACACTACCAGGGGGCATGCTGTCGTACTTATATCTATATACCCCAGCTGTACTGTCCTACCTATATCTATATACATCAGCTGTACTGTCTTCCCTATATCTATATGCACCAGCTGTACTGTCTTACCTATATCTTTATACACCAGCTGTACTGTCTTACCTGTAAGATGGCTTTCCTCACATTTACTTCTCAGATCGACACTACCAAGGGGCATGCTGTCGTCCTTATATCTATATACACCAGCTGTACTTTAGTCCAATCTACAGTTACAGCTTGGAAGGTCTGCTCCTGAAATATTGATATCCTCAATTGGTAAGATGTCTTTCCTCACATTTACTTCTCAGCTCGACACTACCAAGGGGCATGCTGTCGTCCTTATATCTATATACACCAGCTGTACTTTAGTCCAATCTACAGTTACAGCTTGGAAGGTCTGCTCCTGAAATATTGATATCCTCAATTGGTTAGATGGCTTTCCTCACATTTACTTCTCAGATCGACACTACCAAGGGGCATGCTGTCGTACTTATATCTATATACACCAGCTGTACTGTCTTTCCTATATCTATATACACCAGCTGAACTGTCTTACCTATATCTATATACACCAGTTGTACTGTCGTACCTATATCTATATACACCCGCTGTACTGTCTTACCTATATCTATATAGACCAGCTAGACTGTTTTACCGATATCTATATACACCAGCTGTACTATCTTACCTATATCTATATACACCAGCTATACTGTCTTACCTATATCTATATACACTAGCTGTACTGTCTTACCTATATCTATATAGACCAGCTAGACTGTTTTACCGATATCTATATACACCAGCTGTACTATCTTACCTATATCTATATACACCAGCTATACTGTCTTACCTATATCTATATACACTAGCTGTACTGTCGTACCTATATCTATATACACCCGCTGTACTGTCTTACCTATATCTATATACTCCAGCTGTACTGTCTTACCTGTATCTATATACACCAGCTGTACTGTCCTAGCTATATCTATATACACCAGCTGTACTGTCTTACCTATATCTATTTACACCAGCTGTACTGTCCTACCTATATCTATATACATCAGCTGTACTGTCTTACCTATATCTATATACACCAGCTGTACTGTCGTACCCATATCTATATACACCAGCTGTACTGTCTTACCTATATCTTTATACACCAGCTGTACTGTCTTACCTATATCTATATACACCAGCTGTACTGTCTTACCTATATCTATATACACCAGCTGTACTGTCTTACCTATATCTATATACACCAGCTGTACTGTCTTACCTATATCTATATACACCAGCTGTACTGTCTTACCTATATCTATATACACCAGCTGTACTGTCTTACCTATATCTATATACACCAGCTGTACTGTCTTACCTATATCTATATACACCAGCTGTACTGTCTTACCTATATCTATATACACCAGCTGTACTGTCTTACCTATATCTATATACACCAGCTGTACTGTCTTACCTATATCTATATACACCAGCTGTACTGTCTTACCTATATCTATATACACCAGCTGTACTGTCTTACCTATATCTATATACACCAGCTGTACTGTCTTACCTATATCTATATACACCAGCTGTACTGTCTTACCTATATCTATATACACCAGCTGTACTGTCTTACCTATATCTATATACACCAGCTGTACTGTCTTACCTATATCTATATACACCAGCTGTACTGTCTTACCTATATCTATATACACCAGCTGTACTGTCTTACCTATATCTATATACACCAGCTGTACTGTCTTACCTATATCTATATACACCAGCTGTACTGTCTTACCTATATCTATATACACCAGCTGCACTGTCCTACCTATATCTATATACACCAGCTGTACTGTCCTACCTTTATCTATATACACCAGCTGTACTGTCTTACCTATATCTACATACACCAGCTGTACTGTCCTACCTTTATCTACAGTTGTGGGATCACACAACGTTACACGATGTGCACACCAGTGTGCGCATGTTGTGTGAACAATGTGTCCACAAAGTGCAAACGATAAAAAAATTGGGCGATCATTGATTGCGCACATTTGTGCGGACGATCGACGAACGTTGTGCGATAACAATCGTGGTAGGTGTAAATTGAGGAATAGCTTAACAATATAAACGGTTTCGTGTTTAACATATAAACTTGTCTTTTTAGTATGTTTCTCTATTCAAGCTACAACTAAAAGCTATTTTTTCTGTCTTTACTTTCTTATATTTAGAAATGGTTTGTCGACCTTAAACGGCACATGTAAAATTACAACACAGTCTCGGCAACACAGGTAAACATTGCCACTTTGTATGTAGTTTTTCCCCGTCCGGGGCAATTATGTAACTCGACGAGGTGAGAAAACTAGGTGAAGGGGAGCTATAGACTAAAACGAATGTTCATAACGATCATACAGTATCACATATCAGCTCTACCTGTCAGGCAAAGGCCAGGTAAAACTCCAGTCACTCATCAAATTGTTATTTACCTGTTCTGTTAACAAGGAGCCAAACCCATTCTTGACAATCTGACGGTCACTGTATACTGTGTTACACGCATTGTAAAATTGTACATAATCTTAATTATAGTGATGAGAGAATTACAGTAATATATATAGTGTACATTATTGCATCTGAGCCTTCCGTATTTTTATATTGATCAACAAATTGTACCAAATCGCACAGTTGTGCGGAGAGAAACGCACAACGGGGCGAACGATTATTAAATCGCACAGTTGTGCGCATCATGTGTGTACGATGTGCGGACGGTGTGTGAACGATGTATGCACAGTATTTTTGGTGCGTTGTGCGGTCACAAAACTGTATATACAGCAGCTATATAATGGGAGTTTCTACAAGGTGTCCAGACACAACTGACAAGTTTTGTGTATCGTGATATTACCATTGACCATATTTAATGTTATAGAAAGGTCAATGACACAAGGTAGATGGTATATATAACATGACACAGGTCAGCGTAATTTCACCTACCTAAAGGTCAGTGTGATGCGCCACAAGATTAGTGTTAGGGGCCAGGCTAGTGAATCATCATATACTGGAATTATTTATCTCACTAAACTTTTATCTCACCAAACTTTAGTCTAAAAGTTCAAAATCTGAGCTTAAAGATACACTGATATAAAAACAAGATACCTTAATTACTTCACTTGATGGTGGCTATGTAAATTATATATAAAATTGATAACATTTTAAGAAGTAGACATTAAATTTTAATCAAAAAGGGTTATTTTGATAACATCAAAAATTAATTAATGTATCCAATTTAAAAAAAAAAAAAATTAATATCTTAACATTGGTTTTCCACAACTGCTATGATTTATTCTTTTAGGACGGATGATTTCCCCTTGACTATTTATATATATATATGCTTAATTATGCATAATGTTATATCATCACTGTACACAGGTACACATAATGTTATACCATCACTGTACACAGGTGCACATAATGTTATACCATCACTGTATACAGGTACACATAATGTTATACCATCACTGTATACAGGTACACATAATGTAATAACATCACTGTACACAGGTACACATAATGTTATATCATCA